TAAGATACCAAGTAAGAGTACCCCCCACCCTGACACACAATTCATTACCTGTGGATAACTGTCCTGGGCACATGGACGCTTCCCGGAACAGACAGTGGGGGCTTTGCCTACCCTGTGTGGGGACAGGGCAGTGAAGGAAAACCTTAGTCCCTGACCAACAAGGGGGCAGCAGGGGACCCATCAATACCATTACACACACTAAATGTCTTCTCTCACTCTGGAGAAGTTTCTCACCATCTCTTTCTCCTTTCCTTCACTATGAAGATCTTGAAACCAAATCTTCACTTCCTGTACTTACTTTCTTCAGATCTACCCACTCTTCCACCCACTGCAAACTGGCTTCTGCTCCCACAATTCTACTGAAATTATTCTCACTAAGATCACTAATGATCTTCTTGCCAAATCAAATGTCTTGGAGACATCCTTCTGTGTGACTTTTCAAAACTCCTCAGTAAAAACTTTAACAATGGATATAGCAATAGTGGGTAATACATGTTGAGCGCATTTACTGTTGAGACCTTAGCGTTGCACACTGCCCTACATAAACTATGTGTATTATCTTACAACCACCTTTAGGTAGGTGCTTTTTCTATTTTAAAGATGAGGTAACTAGGCTCAGGGGGCCTATGTAAGGCCACAGAGCTAGAAATTTGCCGCAGTGAGACCATACTAAGGCCTGTGACTCCAGATCCAAGGTTCTGCCCACCTATCCCTGGGCTCTCGCATCATGCATTCTACCCTGAACCCCCTGCTCCTCTAACTTTCCTGTCTCCATCCCTTCCACTGTCTCTTCTTCTCTCAGCACCTCAAATGACCTCCAAACTCTCTCCTTAACTCAGACTTCTCTCCTAAGCTCCAAACATGTGGCCTTTCTCACTTGGATATCCCGTGGACACATAGGAATCAAAAGGACCTAAAGTGAATTACCTTTCCCTGAAAATATGGTCTTCCTCTTATTATACCTCTTCCTCTTGTTCATTCTTTCATTTATTCGTTCAAATACTTATGAGTATTGGTACCTACAAGGTACCAAGCACTATTCTAGACGCTGGGAGTACCTAGCATACAACGGACTAGGTCCCACCCTCATTATAGTAGGGAAGACAGATCATAAACACATACATAATGTCAAGTGAAATGTGCTGTGAAGAAAACAAAAATGTGGTCAGGGGTTAGAGAATGACAGGGTGTTTAGATGGGCTGGCCAGAGAACATCTGTGTCACTGAGGAGCAGAGGTGATACGGAAGGGTTAACAGTGTCTGTTTCCCCCGTGTCCAAGACAGAAAGTTTTGGGGTATCCTTAGCTTTGCCTTCTGGCTCACCCCACACATTCACTTTCTACCAGTTCGTATCTCTTTTCTCTATTTCCTCCTCACTGTTCTGGCTTGGCTCAAGGACTCAAAACCGCTCAACAGAGTGTTGCACCCAGTTTGGGTCTTTCCCTTCTACTACACTGGGCCTCATCATGCTGCCAAAATATAAATCTGTTAATGTCTTCCACTTGCTGAAAATTCTTCCCTGGGTTTCCATTTCCAACAGGCATGAGTCCGTGATCCAAGGAGAGAATTCCAAGTCCCTCGTATTCTGCTGCCAACTTCCTTTCCTGCCTTGTCTCCTGCCATATCCCTGGTGAACATGCCATGTTCATCCCACCTCCCTGCCTCTGCATAGGCCATTTCTTTCACTCAGAACATTTCTCACACCCCAACCCTCAAATCCTACTCGTCATTCTAGACCAAACTTAACTATCCCCTCTCTGAAGCCTCCCCCAACTCTCCAGTTCACTTTTCCCCATCTTCCAGTTGGTCTGTGGATGTGCCTCTGTTGTCACATTTATAATTCTCTGCTAGAAGGATCTGGGTTTCATTTATTCAATACGTATTTGTCTAGTGTCCACCGTGGGCCAGCTGCCATTCTCAGGGCTATAGATACAGCTACAAATAAGGCCAAACAAGGTCTCAGCTCTCATGGAGCTTACATTCTGTTCCAGTACATCTTCACCAGGCTGGGCCCGTGTCTTCAATGCAGTTAACAAAGCCCATTTTGTGTCCAATGTATATTATCACCTTGGGAGACACCAAGTAGAGAGAAAAGAATGAGACAGGCTCTTCACTGCCTGAAGTCGCCTGTGCCAAGCACAGGATCTGACCTGTGGTCAGAAGTGAACAGGTACTTTTGGATAAAGAAATGATGGAAAGTATTTTTATTCCCACTTTCTGGGTAAGAGAATTAAAAAATAGAACAATTCATTCATATCTTGTGGGCAAGGAACTTTTGAGTCCCAGGATTCCAGACAAATCCAAGTAGAACACACTATCTTTATTCTGAATCACCAGAGGCTTCTTTTTACTCCATCTCAGCAACACTACCCATTTTTAAATTTAATACAAAGTATAGAAAAAAGTAATGCTAGCAGAATCTGCTGTTAGGCACTGTCTCTACAGTTCAGTGTGGGAAAGTCCATCATTTGGGACTTGTACTGGTCTTTCTCCCTGACTAGAATGAGAGTGGGGTGTGGTTGTGTGTTCAGGCACTTTTAGTGCCTAGAATAGTGCTTGGCACCTTGTGGGAACTCATAAATACGTCAATGAAAAAATGAAAGAACAAAGGAGAAGAGGCATGATGAAAAGAAGAGCAGATTTTCAGGGACAGGGAGTTAATTCACTTGTCTTTTTGATTCTTGGGTACCCACAGGGCATCCAGGGAGGAGGGCCAATAGATAGCCACATATTTGGAGGCATCAGATGGTGTCTCCCAAGGGAACACTAAACAATTATTTGGGGAAGTCACTTTGTTTGAATAATATTAATAGCCATAAGATGCTTTGTGATAAGATTTTTGCATTCTACACAAAAGACATCGCTTTCTACAATGGAGGGGGAAAGTGTGATTTGTAGGAAAAAATAAAATGAAAGAAAAACAAAACAGAACCAAAGAATCCAGAGCAGCAAATACGGAGTTTAAAGCCAAGCAAAGCCAATATCACTTAGCAAAGACTGAAACCAAAAGAAATGAATCTCAAAGGTCAGTTCTTTGGGTATATTTTTTAGTGAACATATACTGAATATACCAAAATTACAAAGAATTCAGTAATATTTCAAGTGATCTATTCCATGCCTATACAAACACACACAGTCAGAAAGCAGTAAGTATTTAGAACCCCAAAATATTCATGCCCTTTGAACCAAGGATTCTACTCCTAAGAATTTGTCCTAACAAACTAAACCAAATTCACCACAGAAGTCATTAATACATGTGAAAGAGAAGAAAACTGAAAAAAATATCCCAAATGTCTAACATTCACTGAAGAATTAAATAAATCAGGGTATAGTACACACCATGAAATATTATGTAACTGCCAAAAAATCAAACTGAAGATTTGGAAAAAGTAGAGAAAGTATATGAGATAATATCAAATAAAAAAGCAGAATATGACATTTTTCTAAAGAAGACATACAGATGGCCAATAGACACATAAAAAGATGCTCAATATCACTAATCATGAGGGAAATACAAACCAAAACCACAAGGACATATCATCTCAGACCAGTGAGAATGGCTAGAATCAAAAAGACATGAAATAGCAAGTGTTGGCAAGAGTGTGGAGAAAAAGAATCTCTCGTGAACTGTTAGTGGGAATGTAAATTGATGCAGCTACTGTGGAAAGCAGTATGGAGGTTCCTCAAAAAATTAAAAATAGAACTACCATATGATCTTTACTCAAATAAAACAAAAACATTCGTTTAAAAAGATACACACACCTCTGTTTATTACAATATTATTTACAATAGCCAAGACACAAAAGCAACCCAAGTGTCCACTGATAGATGAATGGATAAAGAAGACGTGGAATGTACGTACACACACAGACACACACACACAGTGGAATATTAATCAGCCATAAAAAAAGAATGAGATCTCGCCATCTGTAACAATATGGATGGACCGAGAGGGTACTATGCTAAGTAAAATAAGTCAGACAGAGAAAGACAGATACCATATGATTTCACTTGCATGTGGAATCTAAAAAAACAAGTGAGCAAACAAACAAAAAGAAGCGGAAACAGACCCATAAATACAGGGAACAAATCGGTGGTTGCCAGAGAGGAGGGGGTGGGGGGCGGGCAGAAGGGGTGGAGGGGAGTGGGAGGTACAGGCTTCCGGTTAGGGACTGAGTGAGTCCCAGGGATGAAGCATACGACCCAGGGAATATGTGGCATTGTAGTATGCTATAATAGTGTCGTGTGCTGACAGACAGTAGCTACACTGTGATGAGCACAGCAGAACTTACTAAATTACTGTGTTGGTAGACTTGAAGCTTATGTAACATCATGCATCAGCTACACTGCAGTCAAGGAAAAACGCAGAATATTAAAATCATTATGGAGACTGCTTCTATGTAAAAAATTTACTCAAGGAGGAAAAGAAAGCTAAAAGTAAGTGATCCAAAGTGGTGGTAACAAGGCAGTCAGATTATAAGGTTTTTTTTTCTTTTTGAAAAGTGTGTCTTATTAATAATAATTTCTAACACTTATGGGGGGGCTTTTCAGTATGAAGTACTGTAAAAAGTAATTTTACTCTCATAATAACCCTATAAGGCAGATGTTAGTAATATTCCTATTTTACAGATTAAAAACCCTTAGATTTAGAGAGATGGAATAACTGGCCAGGATAATACAGGGATTAGGTGGCAGATCTGAGGCTAGACCTTGGTCTGGCTCATATCAAAGCCCAGACCTTTGATCACTATATTATACTTCTGTTTAGTTTTGTTTTTTAATTAAAAGTGTACTGTTTAAAAAAAAGAAGGCCATAGTAAAACCAAATGGCATTTCCTTTCTGTTGAAAAGAAGCCCTGACGCTTTACCTGGGTTGGCTCCAACTCTTTTAGAAATCCATGTGGAGGGGGTGGGAGAGGGAGAAGGAAGGCCAATGCAGGGATGGCAATGACTTGGGACAGGAAGGAGGGAGGACATATAGACACCTCCATGGCACCCACCTCTCCCTGTGACTTGCTCACATGATTCTCCTTCTTGGCAGCCTCCTGGAGTTCCATGGCCTGTTGGATATACATTTTCCCAGCTAGGATTTCATTTTCCAGCATCGACAGCTCCTTCAACGAAATGGGCCAATTCAACCGTTCTAATGCCCTGTTTAAAGCTGCCTTGTTTTCCAAGTACCGCATGGGTTTATATGCATCTAACCTAAAAAGAAAAAAAAGGAGGACAAAAAACAAAGAAAGCGGTAACAGAAAAAACATGGAAAGATGATTTTTCAGTAAAACCTCCCTTGAGAACCATCTCTCAGACAGATGTCAGGTGTCAGTGGACAGAATCACAGGCATACCCTCTGGTCCATCAGGACTGTGGTGGCTTACATGAGTAGCTTACATTAAAAATAACCATCTCTGTGAATTATGGTACACATTCTTCCCTATTACCTAATTTGATCATCTAATTTTGAAGTTCGATATAGCTTTTTTTTTTTCTATTTTTTTGGCATATTTGGAACTCATTCCTTTCTCCCTAGGTCTAACATTTGGCAGGAACAAAAATGAGCTCCAAAGAGATTTCACACACTATGTCCAGTAGTAACTCTGAGAAACAGAGCAAAGCAAAGGGAAGGGAAGCAAAACAAAAGCCAAATATTTGCCTCAGAGCAGTAAGTCTTCTACCAGCTCATTCTAGCTATTTTGATCTCCTCTCCTCCTTTTATAAGCCTAAATAGGCCTAAACTTTCTGGCTTCATTGTTTTGGTACACAAAGAACAGAAGGCAAACTTTCTATGAGCCGAAGAACCCAGGCTGTGAGACTCAAGGGGAAGCCAGGGTGATGTGATGGCCCAGGTCCTGGATACTACTTCCAGTCCAGCTACTGCTACATCAGACACTCCTGGAGGGGGGACAGAAAGAAAGGGAAGGAGGAAGGAGGAAGAAAGAAAGAGAGAGAGGGAGAGAGAGAGAGAAGAGGGCATTTCATAATTATTCTCTTACTGCTGAAAGGGTCACTTCCTTTAGATTTAGGGTGTTGGAAGAGTACAGTGCAAACCCAGCACAACCATAGGACTCAATCCACAAGCAAACCTGTCAGATAACAGCAAAAATTCTTACTAAAAAAATCTAAATTCGAGTGATGTCAGCAAGATGGTGGACTAAGAAACCCCAGGCTCCCATTCCTCCCTAGGAGATGCTGACTCATCAATATATGGACCAAATTTCCTTTGTGAGAATTCCTGAAACCAGTTAAGAGGTCGCAGCACTCCAGATGAACACAAAACCAAGAAGAATAGTGGATTAAAGTGGATAGAAAAGGCTGTTGCATTTTGCCAGGCCTAGTCCCCCTGCTTCCCTTGGATAGTGCAGTGCAATTAGGAGAAAAGAAAAGAGGAACATGCATCCAACATTCTGGCTTTTGGGGGGGCTTCCCAAGAGACTGATTTCCATCTCACATGACTCAGAGCACTGATGGGAATGGTGAGATACTCTGGATACCATGTTAGGGGTAGCTAAAGGGAGTTCCCATGGCTTGTTACAGCACCAGAGACACTGCAATACCAAAAACAGACACCAGGGGGAGGAAGAGATTATGGGCTCCTGAGAAGGAAGGGGGCAAACCTCTTTAACTGAGAAATTACACACACAAGCCTGGAGAAGGCACACCCCAGAAAAGGTTTGAAAGATCCCCAGAATCTGTAGCCCAGATGATTGGTGAAGGCTGTTCCCTGTAAGAAGCTAGTCTGTAAAGACTAGGAGATATAACTGTTTCTTTCAAATACTCAAATCTCCACTAAAAGATTCTAAGGCATACAAAAAAAACAGGGAAAGGTGGCCCAATCAAAGGAACAAAATAAGTCTCCAGAAATCTTTCCTAAAAAATGGGAGATCTCTGAGTGACCTGACAAAGAACTCAAAATAACTGTCCTAAGGATGTTCGGTGAGCTCTAGGAGAACACAGACAACTACATAAAATCAGGAAAATGTTGCATGAACAAAACAGAATATCAATAAAAATACTGAAACTATGAAAAAGAACCAAACAAATTCTGGATCTGAAGAATATAATAACTATGAAATGAAAAATTCACTAAAGAGGTTTAAAAGAAGACTTGTTAAAGCAGAAGAAAAAAATCAGCAAACTATTACTACTTTAAGTCATAAATTGTTCCAAGAGACAAAGAAAGACATTATATAATGATAAAAGGGTCAATCCACAAGGAAGAGATGCAATTATAAATATATATGCACCCAATGTCAGAGCTCCCAAATATATGACACAAACATTGACAGAAATGAAGGGAGAAATAATAAAAATAAGAGATTTCAATCCCCATTTTCAACTATTGATAGAACAACCAGACAGCTGGTCAACAAGGAAAGAGTACTTGAACAATATCATAGGCTAACTGGACCTAACAGATATATACAGAACACACCACCAGCCAACAGCAGGATACATATTCTGTGTATGTACACATAAAACATTCCCTAGGACAGATCACATGTTAAGCCATAAAACAAGTATTAGAAGTTTTCAAAATCGAAATCATTAAAAAAAAATCTTCTCTAATCGTAATGGGACAAAATTAGAAATCAATAGCCAATGGAAAACTGAAAAATCTAGAAACATGTGGAAATTAAACACCATACTCTTAAGCAGCCAACAAGTCAAAGAAGAAATCACAAGGAAGATTAGAAAATATCTTGGGATACATGAAAATGAAAACACAAAATAACAAAATGTATAAAATACTATAAAAGCAGTACTAGGAGAAAAATTTATTAAAAATGCTTACATCAAAAAAGAAGAATGATCTCAAATCAATAACCTAACTATATACCTGAAGGAACTAGAAAAAAGAAGAACTAAATCCAAAGTTAGTAGAAGGAAGGAAATAATACAGATAAGAGCAGAAATAAGGAAAATACAGCACAGAAAAATAGAAAAAAATCAGTGAAACTAAGACTTGACTTTGGGAAAGAACAACAAAACATAAATGCTCAGCTAGATTAACTGAAAAAGAGAGAAGACTCACATAACCAGAATCAGAGAGGAAAAAGGGGACATTATAACTAATGTCACAGAAATAAAAGGGATTATGAGAGACTACGATGATCAGTTATACACCAACAAATTAGGTAACCTAGAGGAATGGATACATTCCTAGAAACATACAGTCAGCTAAGATTGAATCATGAAGAAATAAAAAAATCTTAACAGACCTATAGCTAGAAAGGAGATAGAATCAGTAAGCAAATACCTTCTAACAAATATAAGCCCAGCACCAAATGGCTTCAGGGGAGAATTCTACCAAGCATTTAAACAATTAACACCAATCCTCCTCAAATATTTCCAAAAACTGCAGAGGAGGGTACATTTCCAGACTCATTCTGTGAGGCCAGCATTTCCCCATACCAAAGCCAGACAAAAATACTACAAGAAAAGAAAACTACAGACCAATATCCCTCATGAACATTGATGCAAAAATCCTCAACAACATACTAGCAAACCAAATTTAACAGCACATTAAAAAGATTACACACCATTAAAAGTGAGATTTATTCCTGGAATTCAAGGATGGTTCAACATATAAAAATCGATGTGCTGAGAGACGATGGACTCTGAAAAACAAATAGGGTTCTGGAGGGGAGGGGGGTGGGAGGATGGGTTAGCTTGGTGGTGGGTATTGAGGAGGGCACATTCTGCATGGAGCACTGGGTGTTATGCACAAACAATGAATCATGGAACACTTCATCTAAAACTAATGATGTAATGTATGGGGATTAACATAAGAATAAAAATAAATAAATAAATAAAATAAAAAATTAAAAAAAAATCGATGTGCTACATCACATTAACAGAATGAAGAAAAAAAAAACCCTCTTGGTCATCTCAAGGGATGCAAAGAAATCATTTCACAAAATTCAACACACTTTCATGAAAAAAAAAAAATAATACACTCAACAAACCAGAAATAGAAGGAAACTACTTCAACATAAGAAAGGCGTCATATGAAAAGCCCTCAGCTGACATCATCCTCAACAGTGAGAAACTGGAAGCTTTTCCTCACAGATCAGGAACAAGGCAAGGATGTCCACTCTCACTGTTTTTATTCAGTGAAGTACTGAAAGTCCTATCCAGATGGCATGATTTTATATGTAGAAAACCCTAAAGATTCCATAAAAATACTGTTAGAACTAATAAATAAATTCAACAAAGTAGCAAGATAAAATATCAATACATAAAAATCAGTTGCAATTCTATGCACTAATAATGTATAATCCAAAAAGGAAATTAATACAACAATGCCATTTACAATAGCATCAAAAAGGATAAAGTACTTAGGAATAAAATTAACCAAGGATGTAAAAGACTTGTATACTGTAAACTATAAAATGTTGCTGAAAAAAATTTAAAAAGATGCAAATAAATGGGAAAGACATCCTGTGTTTATGGATTAGAAGACTTAATAGTTAAAATATCCATACCATCCAAAGTAATCTACAAATTCAATGCAATCCCTGTCAAAATCTCAATGGCATGTTTTGCAGAAATAGAAAAAATCATCTTAATTCATGAAACCTCAAGGGACTCCAAATAGCCAAAACAATCTTGAAAAAGAACAAAGTTGAGGCCTCACATTTCCTGATTTCAGAACATATATATACAAAGCTACAATAATCCAAAGGCTGTGGTATTGACATAAAGACAAACATGATCAGTGGAACAGAATAAAGAGCTCAGAAATAAACTCTTACGTATGTATATGGTCAAATGATCTTCATCAAAGGTGCCAAGATCTCGCCATGGAGGCAAGGATAGTCTCTTCAACAAATGGTTCTGGGAAAACTGGATATCCACAGGCAAAAGAGTGAAGTTGGACCCTTAACTTATACCATATATAAAAAGTGACTCGAAACAAAATGGATTAAAGACCTAAACAGAAGACCAAAAACTATAAAACTCCTAGAAGAAAATATAGGGGGAAAGCTTCAAGACGTTGGATTTGGCAGTGCTTTCTTGGATATAATACTAGAAGCACAGACACAAATGCAAACATAGACACATGGGACTACATAAAACTTAAAAACTATGCATCAAAGGAACTATCAAGAGAGTGTGAAGGCAACCTTTAGAGTGAGAGAAAGTCTCTGAAAATCATCTGATAAGTGGTTAAAATCCAGAATATATAAAGAACTCCTACATTTCAACAACAACAACAACAAAATAACCCAATTAAAAAATGAGTAAAGAACTTGAATAAACACTTCTCCAAAGAAGATATATTCATGGCCAACAAGCATGGGAAAGGATGTTTAACATTATTGATCATTAAGAAAAATGCAAATAAAACCACAAGGAGATATCATTTCATACCCACCAGGCCACCAGGATGGCTTTAGTTATTTAAAAAAAAAAAAGTAAAATAACAAGCATTAGCAAGGATGTGGAGAAACAAGAACCCTCATACCTCGTTGGTAGGAATGTAAAATGGTGCAGTTGCTCTGAAAAAGTCTGGTGGTTCCTCAAAAAGTTAAACATAGAATAACCCTGTGGCTCAGCAAATCCACACCTAGATATGTTCCCAAGAGAAATGAAAACATATGTCCACACAGAAACTTCTACATGAATGTGTATGGCAGCATTGTTCTCAATGGGCCCAAGGTAGAAACAACCCAAATATCCACCAATGGAAGAATGGATAAACAAGCTGGTATGTACACACAATGGATCCATACTGAGGCATAAAAAGGTACTTATGTATGCTACAACTTGGAAACATTAAGTTTTTACAAAAAGGAAGTAAAAGAAGCCAGACACAAAATGTCACATATTATATGATTCCTTTCATATAATATATCCAGAAGAGGAAAGTACACAGAGACAGAAAGCAGACTAGTAGTTCCCAGAGAGGGAGAGAGGTGTGGGGAAGGATTACTTAATGGGTACAATGTGTTTTTTCTGAGGTGATAAGGTTTTGAAACTAGAGGGAGGTGGTGGTTTGCACAATATTTTGAATAAATAACATAGAACTGTACACTTTAAAAGTTAACTGTAGGTTATGTGAATTTCACCAAGATAAAACAAAGTGAAGAGAAACTGGCTTACTTTTCTTTTTCCTCTTGAGATAATGCTCGCCAAACAATTTTATTCAAGCGCCTATTTAAAAAAAAAAACAATAATCATTTAGTAGCAGTAGTTCATTTCATGGCAAAAGGCTGATCCCAGGCTCTGAAGGGCACTGCGGGCAGATCCCGAGCCAAGGGACACCCACACTGGACCATGTCACTGCCATTTGCTTAAAGATACTGGATAGGAGTATCTGCCTCCCTTGGCATCACTGTGGAAAGCTCATGGCTTTGTAGCAGTCATGTTGAATATTAAAGGAGGGCACAACTCTCACCTCGGTCAGGTAAAACCCAGGCTAAGAAATGGAAGTAAACAAAATGGTTGTCATTTTCTCTGCATGAAGTCTCTAAACACTCACTGATTTTCTCCCTATGGAAAAGTATAACCATGCCCTTAGAGACATTCTTCTAGACCTGGATTTTCAGAGAAAAAGGTGTGAAGAGAGTCATAAATAATAGGACCAGGACACTTTTTAGAGATCAACGAGCCTGACTTGCTTGTTTTCCAAACAAGGTCACTGAGAAGGGCAAACAGATGAAGTGCCTTGCTCACCCATCACAGCTTGGTGGTGGTGGCAGCGCTGAAACTTTCTGAAGCTCATCACTGAACATGTTCGCGGAGAGAGAGGAAAGGAGGAGGCTGAAGCCAGTGGTTTCTATGGGGTAGATGCAGCTCCTTTTCTTGTTATGAATCAGTGATGCTTCTAGCGGAGGTGCCGGCCCCATCCTGTTCCCCCGTTCTGTACCACTACATCATTACCCAAAGTAGGCTTCCTGGAGTGCAGGGCACAGAACACTGGCTCCGGGCGGCTGGGAGCTGGTGTTCCATGAAAAAAACAAGCTTCAATACAATGAGTTGGGAGAATACTGCCCCTCTCCAGGAGGCATTCTCTAACCACTGGACCCAGCATCAGCGGCACAGGGCTTTGAGAACACTTTTGGGGTGTTACCCTGCCTGACCTCCCTTCCTGAGCCTGGTGAGACCATGGCAAGGGGGTCTGGCATGCGGTGAAGAGCACAGGCTCTGGAGCCAGACTGCCTGGGTCCAAAGCTCAGTTGGCTTCTCCACTTATTAGCTGTGAGACTTTGGGCCAGCAGCCAACTTCTCTGTAGAATGTGGATAATAATGGTACCTCCCTCCTAGAGTTGCCATGAGGGCTCAGTGAACCAGTGTGTGCGAACCTGTCTGACACGGGTGAATGCTCTGTACATGATACAAATAGTCGGGAAGCAGGCAATAAGCCAGCTCAGTGCTTCTGTCTCACTTGGAGGCTTTGAGTTCCTTGGGGCCTATTTGGAAATTGGGTTATTTTTAATTACGTGGTTCACGTATCTATAAGCAGGGCTCCTAAGACCTGTTTAAAGGATTCATAGGATACATTTTTGGCTTGTGTGTATATGCGTCTCTGAAAACAAAAACGAAAATACAACTTCATTTAAAAATCCCCTTAAACCTAAACCTTGAACGGAGAGGCAGTATGTAGTAGGGAGGCTGGGAGTGAGGCCAAGGGCTTTAGAGCCACATGGCTCTGGGTTCAAATCTCAGTGCCTCTACTTTGCTGCTGTGTGATCCTGTTATGTTATATAACTTTTTGAAACTCTGTTTTCTTATCGCTGAAACAAGGATAACACCACCTACCTTGGTGTTGGGAGGATTGAGATGTACATACGAAGTGACCAGGAATAACTCAGTGTTTATTCCCTCCAGGTTCTGAAGATGGGCGAGGCTTGGAAACTGAGAAACCTTAGTAAATGTGGGTCCAATTAGCTAGCACACAGACCACTAATTTTAATTCAATCTTTTAGAAAATACTTTTCTAAGAGCACACTTACATAACCTCTGTTATTCCCCCTTTTTTCCATCTATACTGAGATACTTGAAAGTACAGAGGGCAGAAAAAGTGGGTGGGTGTGAACTGAGGCAGGTGAGAGTGTCAATCCCAGCTCCGCTGACCGGCCAGGTGACGGTGGGAAAGCCACGAAGGGTGTGGGATGAGGGCCATCGCTGTGGGATGCCGAGAGGCTATGGGACATGAAGGCCTCTCTGAGGCTGGTCCACCCCTTGATTCAAGGATTTTACCAACTATAGCTTTCTTCTTTTTGTTTTAGGAGAGTGAAATTTGGTTGAGGGGTTGTATTCACTAGCTCTCTACACCTCTAGTTGACAAATCTACTTGTGCCAAGAATTGCCAGAATTTGCAAAGCAACTTGTAATTAATGACGCTTCAGAAATCTAACCAGCAGGCAGATCATTTTGGAGATCATATGCAGAGGTTACTAAGGATGGCCCCACAGCCAGGTTAGAACTGATGCTTCTCCTCTGAATCTGAGGGCTGCAACCTTGACCTTACCCTCAAAATAAAAATGAGCTGCAGACAATGACCCCAGAAGCCAGCCGGCGCTGCCAACCCTCACTCAAAGTTTATACTCAGACACACAAAGCCAAAATTGCTATCTCGATTCATAAAATATTGAAACAGAAGGACTCCCACACACAGCCAGTAAGTGTGACCAACATAGCTAGTTTATGTCACTATTTTGGCCAAAGGGCTATGAGCTTCCCAACTGTCTGGTCATTGCTAACCATACAAATTCAGGGTTTTATTTGGCTTACCTGTGATGGGAAACTCCTTAGAAATGTTATATTGGGAACGGAGTGGGAGTAAACCCAGTTTCATTGATTACTTTTCATAGTATGTGTATCTTTACTATGGAGCAAGATGGAAAAGGGAATTGACACTTATACCAACAAAATTCTTAAAACTATTGAATGCAAAAGATCAGGAAGTTTTGTTCTGTATAATACTAATGTTAATATTAATATTATTAAGTAATAATATTAAATATTCATTTAATATAAACATCACATTAATATCATATATTAAGTCAATTATATTGAATTTTAAATAATACTAATCATATTAAAATTAATATTACTATTAATAATAGCAATATGCATTTCTCTAAGGGTCCTAAAAGATTTTTCCATATTCACTCATTGGAAGTAAGAAGTGGGCCAAATCACTATGTCTGTATTTTGGTTTTGCTGTTAGGGAAGGAGGGATCCCTGTTTTCAGAAAGGGAAAGGGTTAATGTAGGGGGAAGAGCTGTGTGACTATTATACTCTGTGTATTTATTGTTATTTTAGGATTAGCAGATTCAGGAAATGAAAGGGGTAAGTAATTAACATTAATTGCTCTTTATATATAATTTACATAACCATCACAACTGCCTCCGGAGATAGATTTTGTAAATAAGGAATCTGAAGCTTGCAATTGTTACATGACCTGCAAAGTAGACGTCAGAATCAAAAATGAAACCCAGAAGGGGGCCTCAAAGCCCTAGCTTGTGGGCCTGCATCAGGCTTTCACAAACCAGGTAATTCTAGAACTCAAATATTTGACTGAGTCAAGCAAATTCAATTATAATATGAATGATACATTTTGAATAACTGAATTTGATGAATTTTAATAACTAAACATGAATTAGATCAGATTCAAATTAAATTCCAATAGTCAAATACATACATAGCAACACCTGCTATCAAGAGGAGACAAGGGGGAAAGCAAGGCTGCCAAGCTCCGGCCCTTGGAAGTTGACATCCTTGCAGGGGAGAGCCAGGCCTGTGCAGAAGCTGTGAGCCCTCTGAGGACTACAGGCAAGGTGGCTGGTGGAGTCACTGGGGAAAGGCCTCTTGGAGGAGGGCCACTGGAGCTGAGGCAAGACGGGAATGAAAGAGGCCAGTTGGAGGACACGAAGAGGGGCAGCATTGCTGGGAGGCAAGGGAAGGCCTGCTTGGCGCAGAGGGAGAGGCAGAGCGGAGGGGCAGCCCCCTTGTGCAGGGGATGGGGGGAAATCTACAGAGCAAAGCCTCAGGCTCACAGACATGAGTGAGCCTTGGCATAGTTTGCTGTGTCTGCAAGAGAAAGGAAGGGCAGACAAAGACTCAGAGAAGTCCTGAGGAGCCTGGAGGCAGCCGAAGGAGCTCATGTAAGCCTCCATTCTTAGGTGAGGGCAGGAGAAGGCTCCCGTGAAAGGAGATTTGCAGAGGCCTGTGACAGGCATGGTGGGGAAAGGCCAGCCTCTGAACTGGACTGTGCACCCCATGTGGCAGGAGTCAGGCTCTATGCTTCTTTCAAACACACACTAGACACACTGCAAAATGACAACAGACCAGCATACGCTGCCTAGGACACATCGTTAACTTTCATGTACTTTATTTCATTCCTCCCACCCACATGGTGGTAGGTGAAAACCCAGTTGCACAGCTTCCAGAACCAAGAAAAGGCTTGCCCGGAGAAGCAGGGCATGCTTAAAGTTCAAGTGCTAGGCACAGAGGCTTAATAAAGTGCTGGGAGTGGGGTGGGGAGGAGACCACAAAGCTAGGCCAAGGGTGAGACCGGGCATCTGCCCTTGTGAAAAGAGACCCCTATCTCAGCACTAAGACAGTGACTAAGAGTATAACTTTCACTGGAGCCGACTTGATCATCCTCCTGATCTTGGGAAAAAATGGTTTACATAGTAGGAGACACATTATCTCCATTATCTCATTATTGTGGAGTTTCATTAGTCACTTTACAAAATCTTAGGTGTCGAAATGATCAAATTCACTCTGCTAAAGGGAAAGCGTCAAAGATCTCAGGGAAACGTGAGATTTCTATAGATTTTGGAGAGGGAAGATGGTTCCTTTAAAACTCTGTTGGACTTCTTTAGGTGCCTGGCACAGAGGAAGCGCCTCTGTTGGTAGCCGCTACCGCTGATAATCCTTTGGGGCAATCACTAAGTAGCTGCTCCAGGTAAAGAAAAAAAAATCTAAGCTAAAACAAGAGAAAACAAGCCCAAACAAATAAATTCCACAGCCATTAAAGAGCAGCCAGGAATAATACTCACTTTTCATAGCTCTTAATGGCCTGTTCCACTTTTTGCTTATAGATATTGAGCTTGACTCCTTGGGGGTTAATTAATGTCATCTTATTGGTGGTGTTGCACACGTGTGCCAGAGGGAACACCTGAACAGCAATACCAAAGGAAGGCGTCAGCTGATAGGTTAACATGTACCTTTGAAAATGGATCTACAGAACATATGGCATGTTTTTATGACTATAAAACCAGTATAATTACAGAAAAATTAGAGAACACGGATAATCACAAAGAAAAAAAAATAAGAATCTGAGATATCATTGCTAATCTTTTTCTTCCAATTTTAAAACTATATATTTTTAAAATCACCACCATGCACACACACAAAACAACAGCTTTGGGAAATTCCTAGTCAGAAACAAGTATCATCTTCATAAGCCCCTGTCAAACTGATGAGAGTGAGCAATTTTTAAGTAAAAGGATCGCCTTGTTGCTACTTTGTAAATTACTACTTGGGTTAAACATCTTCCTCATATATTTATTTTACATTTTATTTTCTCTTGAAAATATCTGATTATATTTAACATCTTTGGACTATTTTCCTTGTCAGTTTATAAGAGATTCTTATAAATGTCAAAGAGAGAAGCCTTAGTGATCACATTCTATAAGAACAGCAGACTACCAGAAAGAGAGGGCTTCTTTTGTAGTCTTTCTGCTTGCACCTGGTGCTTACTTTTGGGTTTGGGTATGTCTATGATTCCATGCCATCTTCTTAATACCTATAATACTATATACTTACCTCTTTGCATGTTACCTCTCTCTCTCTAGTAGAATATAAGCTCCATCAGAGTAGAAACTTTGTCTTATTTACTACTGTATTCCCATTACCTAGAACATTGGCTGGCACATAGTATGCCCTCAACAAATGTTTGTTGGTAAATGAATAAATATATATTCATAAAAAAGTATATTCCATACCTTAATATTTAAACAAAAGAGAAAAGTCTAACAGAATGCCAAGCTATAAAATTGCTTCAAAATTATATATGATTCCAACCATAGCAGCATGTAGGCATTTTGAAAATGTGGAGAATTGCTTTTGAGAAGTAAATTTTTACTTTCAATCAAGATGATATAGGTCATGCTTTTATGTTCCCTCTTATATCCAAAATTATACAAAAATTGAATTGTTATTGCTTAAGAAAAAAAATGCAGAGAACGGAAAGGAGGAAGGAAAGAAAAAAAGGTCAGAAGCATGGCTGATAAATTTCTAGATACAAAAGTTGAATGGAACTGGGAACAAGTGAGCAGGGCTGAAGTTGTGGACTTGCTGTCTCTGTGTTTAAGGACAGCAGGGGCGGGGCGGAGGGGGCGTGTGGAGGCGCGGTGCACAACTCCTGGAGAGCAAGTGGCACTATGTATGAGTGTTTGTACGCCAAGTACCCAAGTCAGGCTCAGTGCGGGCCTGAATCCAGTACTGGTCTGAGGGCCTCTCACCCTTGAAGAAGATTCTGCCAACTGAGAGAGGACACTGATGTAGCATCACCACCAAGAACTATACCAAGCCACCCTCTGAATCTATCACATTCCAGTACCACCGAGGAATGAGAGCTTTAAACACCAGTGGGCGGGGTGGGTGGGGGGAGGTTACAAGGGGATAGATTTAGGCAACTGCAAAACTGGAGAAAGAAAAATACAGATTAAAATAATCCTGTTAATCTATACTAAAATTCCAAAATCTATAATGAAAAAAATGCAAAAATGATGGCTGAGAAAATCAACAATGAGATTGTAAATTCAGTTGAGAAGAAATTAATCTTATGAGCCATCTAACAAAAATTTATAGCAATTATAATTAAAATTATGATTAGGTTCTTCAAAGAAGTAACAGTTATGTAAAAGTACAAAAACATACAGAAGTGCCATAAGAAAAAATGGACAGGAAAAAGAGTACTTTAAACCTATCTTGGAAAAAAGGACATTGAAATGGATGGCTACATACACTAATTTTTTAATTTAAACATCAAGACCAAAACAAACAAGAAAATAGGCAAAGATTCAGAAAACAGAAAGAAATGAAGAGGCTATGAAATCAAACCTCACTACTTGTCAGGAGCAGGAATTCAGCATGTGGCTTCTAGAACAACTTTTGTCAAAGGGAAGGGGCCAGAACAGTAGGTTAAAAGGTGAGTCGACTGGGCTTTGAACACTGAATGAAGCTTGCAGTAATACGGAAAAAAAAAAAAAAGAACACCACAACTCTCAAAATAGAGCTACATATCACAAAAACTTTCAGAGGAAAAAGAAATCAATCTCCACAAAATCAAAGACCTTTACATTTTTATCACCTCTGGAAAAAACACCCCCTTAGAAGTCTATAAATAGCTCTCCAAGTTTGCCAACATATGGCCCAAATGCAAATCAACACCATAAAATATTTAGCAACATGATAACATTTATATTAATGTTCTACTTCCCTCTTTTGTGGTTTTGGATCTCATGCCTTGCGTGGCCATCATGTACTTCAGTGTGGTAGTAGTTCAAATTTGGCTCTGTGCACCCACTCTCATTCCTTTCTGCATGCAGATTTAGGGAAAGACAAAGTCATACTCCACACCTTCAGTCTGTGGTCTTAGTTTTTACAACATGGTGGTCACATGGAGGTCCCATGGGATATTCTCTTTATGATGTCAAATGTAGTGTGACTATGAGGTCGTAAGGGGCATTCTGATAGGACTTGAGGGATCAGAACCATGGCCGCCCAGCTTCTGCAAGGAAGCATGTGGGGAGGAGGGTGCAGTTAATGAAAAAACTGACAACTTTGCTTGAAAGGGAATAAAACCTGATCACATCTCCTTTGAAAATGATTTACTTATTACCTCTCATAATGAAAATCAAGAGACCCTCTTGGACAATATTTGACAACAAAAAAAGAGCCTCATGATATCACCTACCTCAATTCTCTTGAGATTAACCTAAAGAAGCCTTACCAAATTGATATTAATAATCATACCCTGTGGGGAAAGATTTTAACTATGAGAAAGGGAGGGAAGATGGGGGAGAGAGAGAGAGAGAGATAAATGAGGGAGAGACAGAAAGAAAGAAAGAGAGAGAGAGAGAGGGTCATCGACCATAAAGAAAGAAGAAATTGCTAGAATTCGTAGACAGCTAATTTGGGTTGATTCTGTTAGAATTTTTCCCACTGTTAGACCTGTAAGCAACCACTGTATTTAAGAATAGTTTTGTCAATAATGGTAATAGTGTTTATCCTTTACTCTCTGCCAAGCATTAAGCACTCTCTACATATTTTCTCATTCAGTCCCTATATTGATATATACATTGAGTTGCAGGTTTTGTTACATGCCTTTTCTTTCTACCAAACTCTGCTGTTCTTTATTCCTTTCAAAAAAAAAACCTACTAGTTTTCTAGCATAATACATGTACAAAGTAACCATTTATTGAATATTTGAAAAACTAAAACTATATATAAATTAAAAATAATGGTCAAGGCTCAAAAAATGTTTATCTATATTATAAAACATAATGAAGTCTGGATTCCACCAAATTTGAATTCTTGGTAATTGAGGCATGGGATGAATGTAACTTTGCTATTTTTTTAAGAGGTATTTGCTAGAAATATGAATAAAGTGAACAATATTTTGAGAGATTTAGCTTATATAAGAAAACTATTCTGAAATAATAAAAGAACAGAAAATTAAAATGAAATACCATTTTCACACAGCAATTGGCAAAATTTTTTTTTTTTAATGTACTGCTCTTAAGTGATAACAAAGACATAGGTAAATAGGCCTTGTTAAAATTCCAAGTAAACTGTGCACTAATGGGGGACTAATTTAAATAAATTGCAGTAGTTCATATTATTGAATATTAGTGCAACCATTAAAAATTCATCCAAATATGGTCATTACAAGGGAGTATGTTCATAACAAATGCTAAATGAAGGAAGCAGAATACAGAACTGTATGCACAGGTATTAGTTGTTAAAGTCATACTACAGGTAGAGTTCCTCCTGACAACATTCTGTGTTTATCAGCAACCCCACATTTTGAAAATGAGAAAACAGTATGAAACTGGTGTTTATATATTTATTGTTCAACCTTGGCTTAATTCACCAATTTCACTTTTTCCAACTTAATCAGCTCTTCCAACAAATATCCCAGAGCTTGCTGCCAGATTGGCCAAGGAGAGGTCTGACGGGATGTGCGTAATGAAAACGCCAGAGCTGCACAAATCCTGCATGGGTAACTCTGAACACAGATGTGGTGGCTTTATGGACAGTGCGGATGCACAAACTGCTGAGTGCAGAAGCTTAAATGTCTGCTTTCAAACTGGAACATCTCCAGTCTCCAAAGAACAAATGAAAGCAGGACCACACAATTAACTGGCAAAGGAGGAGTGTGTCAACAAGATCATTCATAAACCCAAGAAAATATGTTACTTACTACAGAGTAGTCTATGTCCCACATTTTTCATATAAACTTTTAGAAAAGAAATGATTGTTCTTTTCAATTTAGTGAACACTTTAATTGTAGAAGATAAACATCTGTTGACCTGGAACAATGTTCACCATAGACTGTTGAGTAAAAATGAAGGCACAAAACTGTATATTCAGTTTGACTTCATTTTGGTAAAACAAAAACAAAGAACAAAAGATACATATGTAGCGAAAAAGGTCTGGTCAAACAACTACCAAATGATTCATCAGTGGTGGAATTATGACTCTACTGTTTCTTTCTTTTTCACTTATCTGTATTTCCTAATTTTTATACACAGTGAATATATATAGCTTTTGTAGTAACTGTCCTTTTAATTTTTTAATTAAGATAAGCCTTTCTATCAATACATAATTTCGTTATGTTCAATGCTACTATATACGACAGCAACAAAATGCTTGTCCTTAACAGCATCCCTAACCTCTTTGCATCTAACTTCCTTGTCAGCTAAACGACAAGATGAATAGCAATTTCACTAAGTTGCTCTAACTTTTAGATATAATACTTTGATGATATGAAATGCTTTGTTCGAAACCCAGTAATGAGGGCTCATCATGTACTATATTAATGGGATTGTGCCATGGCCTGTCAGAAGTAAATGATGGAGCTAGTGTGCAAGCCCAGCGTATCTGACC